CAAACTGGCCGAAATATGAAATATATAAAAATAAGTTAACAACCCTTATTCGATTGAGTAAATAACGTCACTATCAAAGGTTTTTTGACTCTAACATAAGAAAGAAAGCATTTGATACTGTTAACCATGAGATTCTTTTGAAAAAACTTGAACACTATGGAATAAGAGGAGTTATAAATTCTTGGTTTAGATCATATCTTTCAGATCGCCGACAGTCTATTGAAATAGACAAATGCATATCTGAAACTGAAACGATCGTATGTGGGGTGCCTCAAGGCTCTGTACTTGGACCCTTGTTATTTTTGTTATATATTAATGACATCCATACAAAATGAAATCTTCCAAGGAATTTACTTTTTATCTTTTCGCAGACGATACAAGTCTAACTTATGCAAATGACAACTTACGTACTCTTGAACTAACTGTCAATAATGCCGAACTTGAGAAAGTAAGCGAATGGCTTAATGCTAACAAACTAACACTCGACGTCAAAAAGTCTAATTATGTCATTTTTCGTCCCCACCAAAAAAGAATGCCTTTCATTCCTCAAATTAAGATTTTTAATCCAACTTTAAATACTAGAGTAACTCTAGAGATGAAGGACTTTGTTAAATATTTGGGTATAATGATTGATTCTGAACTATCATGGAAGCATCATATTGACTTTATCCGTCACAAAATTAGTAGATCGGTTGGAATAATTGCTAAAATGAGGCATTACATTCCACGGCGTCTTCTTTTGAATTTATATCATGCACTTATTTCTCCTTATTTAAATTATGGTAATTTAAATTATGGTATCTGTGCATGGGGCAACTGTCCACAGACCTACCTCAATAAGATACTTGTTCTGCAAAAACGTGCTCTGCGTTTGATTTATTTTTCTAAACCCAGAGACCATGCAATCCCTTTTTTTATTGAATCAAACTGCCTTCCTTTGCAGTCTTTGTTCTTTCAACAGTTAAGCTATTTAATGTATGTCGTTCATGCTAAGATAGCTCCTAAAAGTCTTCTCGATAAGTTTGCGAAAGTCAATACAGAACATCATTATAATAAGCGATTATCTGCAAAAGAATGCTTCTCTGTCAAATTCTCTAGAACTGAAAAAATGAAAAAATCTTTTACTAGAATCGGTGTGTTTATTTGGAATTCTATTCCACTTTCTGTTAAGACTCTCAACGTTTCTAATTTTCGTAAAAAAATTAAATCACTACTCCTTAATGTTCTAGGTAATGAAGATAATTATTTGAATGTTAATTTTTTAATAGAATATTTTGTGAAGTTAACCTGATATATTGTATATACCTCTAGTTGTAATTTTAGTCTTTGTCAAATAACAAAATCCCTTGTACTTGAATTTATATGTAAGATGTTTCTTTCTGTATGTTTTTGTATTTCTTCTTTTCTTTTTTCTTATGTAATTTAATAACGCCTTTAGTTAAAGTCTTGTCCTGCCTAGATTAGCATTGTAGCTATTTGCAGGACATGAAGTTTTGTAAACTTTATATTTCTTTAAATAAATACGTTGTTGTTGCGTGCGAAAATTAACGCGCGAAAAGGTGTCAGAGAGGCAAGGGCAGCAAGGAATTTTTCATCGAGCATAGAAAATTGCATAACGTCGTCAGAATTAAAAGAAATCAGATGTTTTCAGCTTACCTATAGGTCTATTTATTTTGGCTGTTGCTTTTGCTCGTTTTTTGTTTCTTTTTACCGACAAAGTAATGACGTCGAGCTTAAAAAAAGAAGTTCAATTTTCTAATAACCATTTTTTTTTTTTGCGTGGATTTAAAACCTCAAATAATTCATTGAAGGCACCGTGGAATGTCTTGCACAACATCGCAAGAGCACAGTAATTCCCAAGGTGAATCAGTCGCTGTTGGATGATAGATTAATATCCGGGTTGAAAACCATTTCCAGATTATCTGAGTATGCTAGCCCATAAATAATAATAAAAATGATGGCTGCTTCCAAGACAACTAATGCTGCAGCTACAGCCACACACTGAAGCAATTTTTTTTTACACCATGAGCAATTTTTGAAACATTTTAAGTACTGCATTGTAAGGGTAAGCGTTCTCCACGAAGGAGACACGCGATAGACACTATACAACTTGAAGGGGCTTTGTCAGGGATTTTAACAAATTTTTAAACAGCCAAATTATGTATTGGTGTCGTAGGAAACCTGAAAATAACTGCCGTTTTTATTAACAATTACTATATCAGAGCACTGAAACAGCTTACAACCGTCTTTGGCTGCGAATGGCTTGGATGGAAATGACTAACAACGTGAAAAATTTAGGCTAAACGTTTCAAGTTGTTTCCTCGGGCCATCAAAAAATCGAAATTAATAGTAGGGGTCTTATTTCTTTCCGCAAATTTATTTATTTTTTTATTATTTTTCTCTGGATGTTTTTCTGGGTTAAGTAGTCTACCAATAATTTCAGAGCAGTTTAGACCAACTATCCACAAAATTTCCGTGACGTAGCTCCTTTAATTATTCCCCTAATATTCCTCCCTTGCACCTCGACAGATTGAATCAAAAGCCAGAGAATCCGGCCATCTTAATGAACAAGCGAAAGGGCGGATCGAGAACACGAGAGGAGCCAAACTGAGAAATCGATCAGAAAGATGCCCAAAGAAGATTTACAGGGTGGCGGGGGTAGGATTTCAAGGCTAAGACGTTGAGGGGAGGAAAAGAGGGAGAAATTAAAAGCAGAAATAGCAATGACATACAATCCGCGACTAAAAACTAATGCTCCCGTTGACATGTAATATGCTGCGTTGCAAAATTGAAGACGTCAATCAAACAGGCGCGGGAAATAAAGAATGACTAAAATGAAAGCAAATAAAATATACGAACGACTGAATGTGAATCAAATTCAGCTTGTATTCTTTCCATGTCATTCATGACTATTTAACAATAAGACGGCAAACCCGTGGTTTTTATTTGCTGATAGTTGACAAGGGAAGAAGGCCCAAGTCAACTATCAAAGTTAATAGAGCGCCGATAAACGACACTGGTGCGCGCGTTATAAAAACGATAACGAGTTGTGAAATTGCCATACAAATGATACCAATTCTTGGTATTCAAACCTCTCTCCTGCATCTTGTGTTTTACTCTATATTTGAGCATTTTGTGATATTCCTACTGTGTATTATAAAGTGTGTAAACCATGAAAAGAGGTTGCAGATTTGACAACACTATGAAGGTTAGGTTCTGAAAATAATAACAAAAATAAGAACATGTAACCCTGACTTTCCCAAAGTGGCACATGAAAGTTGCCAAAGAGCCATAAAGGTTCCAAAGTGCCACAATGGTACAAAAGTGCCATGCAAGGTTAACAAAGTGCCACGTGAAGTTAGAAAAGTGCCATAAGGTACGTTAGAATTGTGCCACTAGTTACAAAAGTGTCACTTGTCACTCAGGGGTGTAAAAGTGCCACTTAACGTTGCGAAAGTGCCACATCAACGTTACAAAAGTGCCTTTCGTCTAGCTCTCTCTCTCTCTCTCTCTCTCTCTCTCTCTCTCTCTCTCCTTAAAGTTAATGAAATTCACTGGTTTCCAGACGAACAACTTGAGACACGGAACACACTAATCTCTGAGTGCCTTGAGAGACACGCCCCTTTGCGGAAGGTCCGTAACACACGACCACCCGCCTCATGAATGAAGGATCCTCTGATAGAGGAACTCCAGAAGAAACGGGATGCTATTAGATTCATTGCTTACCAGACTAGACTAGACCAGACTAGAACTGATGCCGCATGGGATGTGTTTCGTACGGTGAGAAATATATTTAAGTCGGCAATAAGAACTTCCCGTAAATCATTCATCGAAAAAGCATTATATTCAACTAGTCCTGCGAAGTTTGGAAAGTCTTTCATATAGTACTCAAGCCCAGTTTCAAGCCTCTGCGCTTTGACTACTATGCTCTTAACGACTTCTTCGTGACAATAATAGTAATAATAATAATAATAAATTTATTTATATAGCGCTCGTATCCTCTGCTCAAGGCGCTTTATAATCATACAAAATCAGATATTATTGAGGAGAATTTACAAATTTAAAACCATGTCCTACTATATGATACTTAAATATAGCTAAAATTCATACTGATTAAAAAAAGAAAAACAAAACTGGAGCCAGCCATATCTTATTATATGTTACTTAAACATAACTCAAATTCACAATGATTACAAAAGAAAATTAAATCTAAAGCAATATATATATATCTGTACAGATAATGGTCTGTTATTAATATATTTTTTAAACAGGAACGTCTCAAGTGCTCTTTCAAAAACTGAGATGGTGTCAGACCTCCGAATTTCATAGGGTATTGAGTTCCATTCTCTTAGTGCATGAACAGTGAATGCTCTGTCTCAGTAGGTCTTAGTATACGATCTTACTAACAGACCCAGATGATCTGTAGATTCTGAGCTAAATAGTTAGGCGATGCCCCATTCAGTGATTTACACACTAGAAGCAGAATCTTGAAAATAATATTGTATTGGATCGGTAGCCAGTGAAGCTCCTGCAAAACAGGTGTGATATGCTGAAACTTGCTAATTTGACACACAACTCTAGCCGCCGTGTTTTGTACATGTTGCAATCTTTGTAACTAATACTTGGGCAAGCCGTCTAATAATGCATTACAATAGTCTAGTTTCGATGTAACTAATGCGTGAACAGTAACTGCTGCTGATTCTTTAGTGAGATACTTCCTAATTCTAGATAGGTTCATGTAATGATTAAATGATGATCTACAGATGCTAGACACATATGCATGAAAAGACATGTGCTCATCAAAGATGACGCCAAGACTCCTGGCCGACTGAGAGGCAGCCATGCTCTCATCACCAACACGTAAGGCCTGAAAGCATGGATACTTTGAGTGGATGAGCATGACCTCCGTCTTTTCGTGGTTTAGCTTCAATTCGTTGAGATTCATCCAGTCACAAATAGCAGAAATGCAGCTCTCCACCCTCGATTTAGTAGCGTCCACATCACCCGAATGCAAAGTATAACTGAGTATCATCAGCGTATGGATGATAATCCAAGCCATAAGATCTTATTACTTGAGCAAGAGGCGCAGTATACAGAAGGTAGAGTACAGGTCCCAGAACTGAACATTGGGAAACTCCCACGGTAAGATCACGTATTGTAGAATTCACCTCATTGATGTTAACAAACTGAGTTCTATCAGGAAGATAGGAGTTGAACCATCGCAGAACAGTTCCTCTGATGCCAAATGATTTCTGCAGTCGTGCCAGCAACAAGGTATGGTTAACAGTATCGAATGCTGCCGAAAAATCTAAAAAAGCAAGGAAAACATTCTCGCCTTTGTCTAATGATAGCATAATGTCAATTGTGTCGATGAGAATCGCAGTCTCTGTACTCTGAAAGATCTTGTACGCTGATTGGAGAGACTCATGTAGATCATTTTCGCCAGGATAGTTATTCGATTGCACAAACACTGCTTTTTCTATTAATTTAGATAGAAACTTTAAATTTGACATAGGGTGAAAGTTACTAAACTGCTCAAAATCTGCATTTACCTTCTTGAGAAGAGGTAATAGCAGGGCAAACTTAAGTTCCTTGGGCAGCACTCCAGATGATAACGACAGATTAATCGCTCTTCTAAATACAGAAAAAAAACTAGAATAGCATTTCCGCATGATACTCGCTGAAAATGGATCTAGTGCGCATGCCTTGATTGAACCCCTAATCAGTCCTAAGACATTTTCATCTGTTACCGTGGCGAACTCGCTAAAGCATGATGTACACTCAAAATCCTCCATAGTGAGCTCCCCCAGCTGTTCTCTCCTAACCAGCAATTCATCACGAATGCTCACAATCTTGGGACTAAAGAAATTAGCAAAGGCATTCGCGAGTTCTAGGTCACTGTTCGCAGACGGATATCGCACTGCTCCAAATAATTCACCCCATCAATTTAGAGGCCAGTCGAACGCCACTCACGTTCGAGCCCTCGGCAATCTCCTCATTATACCAAGGGGCATTTGGTCGAATGACAATAGTGCAAGTTCTTTTAGGTGCCAGCTTGTCCAAAGCTTTGCACAACACCTCATCATACTCCTTAGCCAACGACTCAATACATTGCGAGACACATCCATCCGACAAACCAGTCGGTATAATCATCTCATTGAAAGCGTCAAAATCAAATCTCTTTAATTTACGAGAGACAACAGTCTCTCCTAAATAGAGAACACTAGAAACTCTGGCGACTTCAATAGAAGATCTCGTGCGCTTCATTGATGACCTGCCTTACGACTCCCCTGGTGGAACACGTTTTCAGCTGCCACCTGTCACTAGGGAAAGCGTCCTCCAGACCATCAAGGATTTTCGATCGGATTGTTCCACTGGCGTGGACCAGTTACCCACTCGTTTCATCAGGATAAGTGCTGAGTACTTGACAGTCCCACTTAAATCTATCATCAGCAATTGTATTGAGAAAGCGCATTTCCCAAAACTATGGAAGGTTGCTCAGGTGTCTCCAGTCTCAAATAAAGACCGACAACCCAGTCTCAAATGATCAACCTCGGCCCATCTCAGTTATACCTGTTCTCTCGAAAGTCTTCGAGAAGCCTGTGGTGTCTCAAATGGCGGATTACGCAGACAGCGCTCATCTTCCCCACAATCGAATCTCGAATTTCCGCAAAGGACATTCCACCACTACAGCTCTGCTGAGAATCAGAGATAACATACGCTATGCCATTAAGAGGAAGGAGACTAAACTTATGTTAGCCAATTTCTCTAAGACATTGGACACCATCTACTTTGGCTCGACTATCGAGAAGTTTTATAAGCTTGGCTTCTCAAAACCCTTTCTCAAGTAACTCCTGAGTTACCAATCTGGTCAATCACAGTTTGTACAGATCGATGATAAGAGGCCTTCGTGCCAGTCATC